GGTGTCTTCAAATTTCACTATGAGAAAATAGGAATTACAACTTCTCTCGATCTAACAAGGATAAAACAATAACAATTCTCTCTTGAGAAGAAAATAACTCTCAAGAAAACTCTCTAAATTATCTAGTATTGAGAGAAAGCTAGAATGATATGGGATGTTTTAAAGCTAAATGAGTTAGGGTATTTATAGTTGAAGTTGAAGAACTAATCTTGTAAATACCCTAAAGTACATGGACTAAATTTGGTAATTTCCCCTTACCAAAATTTCAACAAAAATATGCTACCAACTTGGACCAAATCATTCGCCCCATTTGTTGCCATCCTTTTTTTAACTTTCAAAAATCTCCCACTTGAAGATTTGATTGAAACAATCATATCTTCATATCATTATTTCTACCTTGTACCATCATGTTGCTTATGTTTTTGACATGCCACAAGAGGATCGACACCAAGTAAATTTATCAGCATTGATTACCTTCGTCATGAAATATGTTATGTTGTCTTTGGTATGGATTTTTTGCATATCTACCATCTCTTCTTCTACCTTTTCACGAATGAAATGGTACTGAACTCGTATGTGTTTTGTCCTTGAATGAAGTGCTAGATTCCTTGCTAGATGCAAAGCGCTTTGACTGTCACAAAATAGAGAGACATACTATTGATTGTGCCCAAGCTTCTCCAATAGCTTCTTCAACCAAATTGCTTCTTTACTGGCTTGTGTAGCTGCTACATAATTGACTACAATTTTGAAACATAGTTTACAGCTCCACCAGTAACTTTGAACACATATCCTGTAGTAGATTTGCTTTTATCCAAATCCCCTGCATAGTCAGAATTAACATACCCATTGATAAGTAAACTTGATTTTTCGTAACATAATGCAACATTTGAGGTCCCTTTGATGCATCTCAGGATTCTCTTTACTGTATTCCAATGCTCTTTTCCTGGATTCACCATGTACCGACTAACCATACCCACTGCTTGTGCAATGTATGGCCTTGTGCATATTATAGCGAACATTAAACTTCTCACTGCCGATGTATACGGTACTCGAGACATCTCCATCCTCTTTTGTTCACTACTAGGACTCATACTGGAGGATAATTTGAAGTTAATAGGAAGAGGGGTAGAATTTGGATTACAATCTTGCTTGTTGAATCTTGACAAGATCTTCTTCAAGTAATTCTTTTATGAAAGTCAAATCTTCCTATTACTTCTATCTCGGTGAATTTGCATCCCTAGAATATTGTTTACTGATCCCAAGTCCTTCATTCAAATTCTCTAGCCAGTTGTGCCTTCAATTTTTCAATATGATCTTTGTTTGGTCCTACAACCAACATGTCGTCCACTTACAACAACAGTATAACAAAATCGTTATCACCAAACCTCTTGAAATAAACATAAGGGTCTGCATTAATTTTGTTGTATCCAAGGCACATAATGAATGAATAAAATCTCTTATACCAACATCTTGACACCTTCTTTAGACCATACAGAGATTTGTTCAATCTACAAACCAATTTCTTCTTTTCTTCTTCTTCAAAACCTTCAAGCTGGAGCATATAAATCTCTTCTTCAAGATTTCCATGAAGAAAAACTGTTTTAACATCTAGCTGCTCTAGATGTAAATTCAATGTAGCACACATTGCCAAGACTACTCAAATTGTTGTTAGTCGAACCACATGAGAAAATATTTCATTGAAATCAATACCTTCTTTTTGAGCATATCCTTTGACCACCAGTCTTGCACGATACTTCTCCACTTGATCGTTATCATTTTGCTTGATTTTAAAGACCCATTTATTACCAATTAACTTCCTTCCTTATGGTACTGGCACAAGGTCCCATGTATTATTTTTATGAAGGGCTTTAATTTCTTCTTGTATTGTCATCATCCATAGTGAAACATCTAAGTTGTTTATTGCCTCCTAGTATGTTGATAGCTCACCGTCCAATGTTAAAAGGCAGTATGCAATATTTCCTTCTATAACATAATCTGAGTGCCAATTGGGATGTCTTCTCACACGATCTGATTGAGGAGTTGTTGGAGCTTCAGAACTCTCTGGTTCTTGTTCATCATGTGCTGGTTCTGCTTCAAAAGAATCTCCTTGTTCAAACTCTTTTTCCACATGTATCTGTTTAGTCTTTGACTTTTCATCGCTATCATCGTCATCTTTTCTTTGTAGTTTATCTTCTATAAAGATAACATCCCTGCTGCTGATCACTTTGCTGGCAGTGGGATCCCACAAGCGATACCCCTTTTCTCCATTATCATATCCCAAGAATTTGCATTTCTTGGATTTTGGATCCAACTTTGAAATTTCTTGGGAGCTATACATCACGTACATAATACTTCCAAATACATGGAGGTTTGAACAATCAACTGATTTACCAATCCACATCTCCATTGGTGTCTTCAGCTCTATTGCAATTGATGGAGCTCGATTCACCAAATAACATACGATATTAACTGCTTCTGCCCAAAATGATTTTCCTAGGTCTGCAGCCCTCAATATTGTTCTTGTTCTTTCTAACAAGGTTTTGTTCATTCGCTCAACCACTCCATTTTGTTGAGGAGTGTTCGCCATTGTGAACTGTCTTTTGATGCATTCTTTCTTGCAAAAGTCATCAAATTCTTCACTTATGTATTCTCCTCCATTATCTATTCTAAAACACTTGATCTTATTTCCAGAATTAAGTTCCACCCGCACTTTGAAATTTTTGAAAGTTGAAAACACATCTGACTTCTTCTTAATAGGGTACACCCAACATCTCCTGGAGTAGACATCAATAAATGAGACAAAGTATTTTGCTTCGTCTAGGGATGTAACTGGTGCTTGCCATAAATCAGAATGAATCAATTCTAAAACACTTTTGCCTCTAGAATTTGACGTGTTGAATTTTAACCAGCGCTGCTTACTTGTTATACAATGCTCACACAAAGTAAGTGATACATTTTGTTAAGCCTGGAAGTAGCTTTTGATCCACAAGGACTTTCATTCCTTGTTCTGACATGTGTCCAAGTTTCTGATGCCATAGCATTGCAGAATCTAAACTACATGAGGCAACACAGGCTTATGCTTCTAGCAAAGTTTCTCCCTTCAGCATGTACAAGTTTGCTGCTATTTTTTCGCCTTTCATCACCACAAGCGCTCCACAAAACACCTTCATGATTCCTTTCCGTATTTCAAGCTTGCTTGCATTATTATGCAAAAAATCCATAGGATAATAAATTTTTCTTCATGCCTTTCACGTGTCGTACATCTCGAACAACTTTAATTATTTCATCATACATCTTTAATTTGATGGTTCCAACGTCAACGATCTCTAAGGCATGATCATTATAACTATACACAGATCCTCCTGAGACAGGTTCATAATGATGGAACCATTCTCTTCTTGAGGTCATGTGATATGTTGCTTCTGAATCAATGAGCCATATATCTGTAAATTTCTTTTTACCTTCCACGGTGGTTGACGCTTCACAACATAGAGCATCTCCATCATCTAAAGTGTTTGCGGTATTGCATTGTGGATTGGAGTTTTTACCTAGAATCCAACAACCCTTCTTCAAGTGACCATTCTTTCCACAGTTGTAGCACTTTAAATTCTTCTTGTTTCTCGACTTTGATCTACTATATTTATGGTTGTTGCTTTGGTCACGTTCTGTTGATCTCCCTCTTATCGTTGTCAACGCTTCTGCTTGTTGCAGATTTACTTGTCTTTCTTCCTTGATCTTACGCCAATTTTCTTATTGTAGAACAACATCTGCAATGTCATCGAAGACTAGACTGATGACATTATTGTTTGTCAAGTTGATGATGGGTTGATCATACGAATCAGTTAGACTTTGAAGTAGAAGTTTAACACGTTCTTGTTCTCCTATTGTACATCTTAAGGATGTAAGCTGAGAAAATAAAGTGTTCAGTGTGTTTAAGTGCTCCGTCACTAAAGTAGATTCTGGCATCCGGAGAGTGTACAATTTCCTTTTAAGGAAAATTTTATTGTGCAACGATGTGGCCTTGTACAGTTTGGTGAGATGATCTCATATCTCCTTAGCTGTCTTCTTCTCCTCAATGCTTGATAAAAGTTTTCCATAGCATTCCCGTCCATTTCGTTCCATTTGTTATCACCTGTGAAATCTACCGGCCTTTCACTGATAGCTGCTGGACAATATTCTTTCCTCAAGATGACCTTCATCTTAAATTTCCACAATGAGAAATTTCTCCCATAGAACTTTTTAATATCAAATTTCATTGCCATAACTTCTATTATGGATAGCTCCCACTATTTCACTATAGTGAATAGTTCTCTAGAACCTTTAAAGAATGAGTAATAACTTCTTACTTTCTTATGTTGGAGGATCCACTTTTTGGTGGCAACCACGAAGACAATAAGTAGATATTACACACTCAAATCTGGATCTTAATATCAATTGTTGCGGAATACGGTTATCGGATAGAGTAAAATCGCAACTGATAATTTGAGAAAATAAAGATGAAGGTAAAGAAGACACAAATTTTATGTGGAAAACCCCTAAATAAAATAGGGTAAAAACCACATGCAACGGTAGAAGAATTTCACTATGAGAAAATAGTAATTACAACTTCTCTCGATCTTACAAGGAGAAAATATACATATATAAAATTTTTACATGAACACCATCAATAAAATACACAATCAACATAAAATATACGAATTTCAGTACCCACCCTGGACAACACCTACGTCCACCACTGCATAGAATACAATAGAAGGTTGCCACACCTTAAGCAGCTTTTTCAAATCACCTGCACCTTGGAATAAAAGTCAAGTACACTAGCACCATGAATGAAATCAATGCAACATCAAGCAATGGTTTTAGAAGTCATCTTTGGCATCAAATTACGTCCCAAATTTCATCATAGTATGGGGACTATAATCATAATTAGACCCCAAATAAACTTTTATTTATGCGTGTTATTTTCAATCTACGTTCATGGAATTCATAGCAAAAACAGAAGTTCAAAACAAATAATTTTCGCCATGGTCCCTGAGATTTATATCATTTGAAGCACATCCAGCAACTTTTCGGCTGAGTTCAATCCAATCCTGACGTTTCTCTTTTGGGATCAAGCATTCATTTACAACATCCATTTTCAAGGGCTTCTCAATCCATCCATTAATAATTGGAAACTTGTCAGTGGTTAGGGTTTTCTCCCCAGTAATTTCTCCCATCATATGAAACCATAATAATACATTTGCAGCAATGTCCACGTACCCAATTCTCTGCCCTGAGAAGAACTGTTTCCCTTTAAGCTCATCTTCAAGAATTTTTAGCTGTTGAACTTCTTCCATGGCCTGCTCTTTTTCCTTCCTTATGCCACGACTAAGCTTGGCCATTGTTGGCAGAAGCCGAAAACAGTCATTAGTATTAGGAATTCGTTAGCGAAAAATAATAAAAGTGAAATCAATACGAAATAAAACACATATTACATACGAGATTTAACGTGATTCAATATTACTTATCTCTACATATGAGAATAGGAATAATCAACTATAAACATAGAAATTAGAAAGTTATAAATACATGATATCTCATTTATACTAAAATATAATATCTAAACAAAACCCAAAACATCTCAAAAAATACTCTCGATATTCCTACAAAACTCATCTATATATTGCAAACCTCAAAAGTGTTAGAAAATACAAAAGAATTACATCTCTAAAAAATAATTATGTTGCATTAATTTTGAAGACTAAAACATACTCTCTATATAGAGTCAAATACTTAATCACTCAGAATCTTTATTTTATAAGAATTATTAACTAATAAATTTAATCACTAACTAATATTCAATAAGTAGAATATAATAAAACCGAATTTACTTTTTAATTAGAAATTGAGTCAATATATAACCAATATATTAAGTATTGAATTTTAGCACAATAGAAGAACTAATACCACAATTATACCAATAAAGAATACGAAGAAAAAAACGTTGAATTTTGTTTTACCTTTTCCTCGATGAATTTAGCATAGAAATGAGCCATTGTTCGTTGATAAGGATCATGAGGCAAAAGAGGATTGTTTTCCCAGGCCTCATCGAGGTACTCGAAGATGACTAATGATTCGGCCATCGGCTCTTCGTTGTGCACTAAAAGAGGGACTTTCTTATGGGTGAGGTTGTAATTTAAAAGTAAAGGGCTCTTGTTTGATAAGTCTTCTTCGATGTACTCGTAGGGTATTCCTTTGAGTTTGAGTGATAATTCCACTCTGCGGATGAAAGGGCTCGCCCATATTCCGAAGAGCTTCACTTCTTTGGCCATTGTTGGTTGCAGTCTTCAAGGTATGTGGATTGGCTATGAGATCGATTATTTACCCTTTTGTAAGCCAGTTTTCTTGTTGCATAAAGCCGATTTCTTAATGATTCCAATACGAATAATCCAAACATTTGGACTTTTTTTATCTTCTAGGACTGCATTGCCTTACAATCATCGAAGAATTCCGGATGACACCAAAAATGATCACATACTATGGTTCACTTATTTAAACTATAGGGTAAAGTAAACAGATAGTCCCCGACTATAGGGTACTATTTTATTAAGTCCCTCGTTATTAAAAGTTGTAAAATGATCCTCCGACTATAGAGTGTTGCTTTGTTAAGTCCATCGGCTATTAAAAATTATAAAATAGTCACACGACTATTCATTATGTTCCAAAGTCATCTTTTTCCTTTAAAAAATTAACGGTTGTTTAAGTTGGACATTAATATGATGATTGTGATATGATAGTCGTATGAGATTCTGGTATTAGATTTTATCATATCGCACTCAACATGTTAACATTAAGCTCATAATATCGTCCATTTTTAACGGAAAAGGACGAGTATGAAACATAGTGAATAGTTAGGTAACCATTTGTAACTTTTAATAGTCAATTGACTCAACAAATTAACTCTCTATAGTCAAATGATCTTGTAATCTTTTGTAAGGGCAACATTGAGTCCATTGTGGGGGTTCACTATGTGCTTGGGAAATTTTATGAGTTTTCAAGATTAAGGCTAAATGCTGCCAAGTCTGAATTATTTACTGCAGGTGTTCCTAATGATCAATTGAGAATTATTCAGGTTGTGATTGGGTTTAAGTTGGGAAAATTACCTGTGAGGTATTTAGGGGTGTGTTTTACCCTTAGGAAGTTGTTTGTTAAGGATTGTGAAAACCTTGTGGAGAAGGTAAAAGTAAAGTTGGGGTTGTGGTCAAATAGATTCCTTAGCTATGTTGGCAGGTTGTAGCTTATTAGAGATGTGTTGTTTAATGTGGCAAACTTTTGGTGTAGACAACTTGGTTTACCTGCTGTTTTGATTGGTAGGGTGGAACAACTTTGTGCTAGGTTTCTTTGGAAGGGAAAGGATGTCTCTACGAAGGGGCTAGGGTGAGCTGGTATATTGTATGTACCTCTAATTTGAGGGGTCTAGGCATTAAGAGTTTAAAGTGCTAGAACAAGGCTTGTTTGTTGACTTTTTTAAGGAAGTTACTTGCTGGAGAAGAGTCTTTATGGGTGGCTTGGGTTCGAGAGTATGTCTTAAGGGGTGATGCTACTTGGCAAGTGGGGAAAGTGACCAATATCAGTTGGGTTTTGAGGAAAATTCTGAAGCTATGGAGTGAGTCACAAGGGCTGTTTGCGAGGGGAACTGGTCGATGATGCAAATTGGATGGTTTTGGATTGAGATAAGGGTTAGAAGGGAGAAAGTATGATGGCATAAATTGTTGTGGTTTTATTTGAATATTCCAAAGAATTATCTAATTGGTTGGATGACGCTCCTTGATAGGCTCCCTACTGTTGACATGCTTCTGAAGATGGGTATCCCTGTGGAAGATCGTTGTAGGAACTGTGGGTGCTTGATGGAGACCAGGATCCATATTATTTTTGAGTGCACTTTTACGAGGGAAGTGTGGTGTGTCATTCTTAGGCTGTGCAGGGTAAGACGGGAGGTGAGGAAGTGAGAGGATGAGATTGAGTGGGCTGTGAAGGTCTGAAGGGTAGATCCTTGATCATTTTTATTCTCAAGGTTGCTTTGTGCGCTTACATGTATTACATATAGGAGGAGAGGAACTATAGGAGACCTGTTAAAGGTGTAGATGAGATTGTTGATTGTATTAGGGAGGTGGTTAGTGTAAAAATGTGCAGGAGAGCTGCTAGAAATGATCCTGTAAATCTGATGCTATGTAACGCTTGGAGAGTTGAGAGTTCTCTCTTAGGGTGATGGTTTGTAATTGTTTTTCTGTAGCAACAATTATGTTGCTTCTTGGGTAAATAATGATATAGACTCTTATTTAATATTAAAGATAAACACTTACAATTTTTATTAATTAATAATTTAGGTATATCTTAATTAACTGAGATTTTATGACTTGTGTATAGTTAGATCTCTACATAATCATATATTAATATATTATAACAATGATGTTTATCGGTATACAAATACTTTATATGGTAATCAGATCTTCGTAGAATTATTCTACACAAGTTTTGTTTTCTTCTTTCTTTATCATATATTTATAATGATTTCGTCGCCTGTCACTAGTGACATTATGCTTTTTAATGCATTAACAAACTATCCAATTAAACTTATGTCTATCAGCTTTCATGTATGGAGCCGACAGATGGAGACCACACTCATTGATTTCAGCTTGATAAACTATATCGATGGATCGCATCATGTTCCGTCCTAATTTTTTATCCTGCGACCAAGACGACTAATCTTAAATATCTTCTATGATATCGTCAAGACCAAATTCTCATATGTGCTCTTCTAGACAATTGTGATGATGTGATTCAACTGCTTATTTCGTTCGTCGTCACCACGAAATCTGCTTGGAATGTGCTAGTCACAAATTATGTTAGTGCATCTTTTGGTCGTATCCTTACTCTCAAATCAAACTTGACTCACAATTTGAGTGATTTTAGATTTATATCCAAATACATGAAAGACATGCAAGATATTGCATCAAATCTTAAGTTAGCCAGTTGTTCTATTTTAGATGCACACTTGTTGATCTTTATTATTGATCAATTAGGCGATGACTATCGATTCATAGTTATTATTCTGCGTGTTCATAATACATCAACGATAATGTTTGAGTTATCTGAGATCTTAACTGATCATGAACGTCTTCTTCATGAGATCAATATCTTCTCTCATCTGACGACAATAAATGCAATGTAACAAGTTACTCTCATTCGTGGTCATTGATCGAATCACTCATGAATTTCGAGATAAATGTGGTTGTTTTGATAATTATGAATCAGTTGGTGGGTATAGTTCGTACACACAACGTGGCTATCCTAGGCAACAAAATTGTTGGTGCCTGTCCATCGTCCGATCAAAACCCCTGGATATTTGAGAGTGGTGCATCTCATTGTATTATGATAAACACTATATCACTTTAAAATTTCTCTTCTTATAATGGTCTTGCTTGTCTTGATGAAGTTTGATTGAGCAATGATAAGTCACTTTTAATATCTCATATTGGTCGTTCTATAGTCCCCACGTCATCTAAATCTCTCTTCCTTGATAAAATCCTGTGTTCTTCAATTACGTACAATTTAATTTTAATTTTCCAATTGTGTCAAACTAATCAAATCTCTGTTAAATATGTTCGTCGGCAAATAGTTTTTGCATCACTTTTTTTATTGCTCATCTGCAGTTGCAACGGCCTAAGGTACATACCTTCGCAGTTCGCACTTCAACAAAAGAAAACTCTTATTCTCTTCAACAAGCAGAACACATACCATAATAGAAAGCATATAGTTTCGTTCTATAGGCTTTACCTGGAAGCAGACTTTATGGCTTCGAGTCGAGTCCGGATATAAACAAGATGTCTCTCTTTCGGGATCCGGCATACTTCGACAACATCCATCGTAGTCACCTTTTCGATCCATTCAAATATGATTGGAAATCTCTCTTTTGTGAACATATTGATTCCCAAAGCTTCTTGCAGGTTTCTAAACCAGAACACCAGGAAATTGGCAACAACAATATCAAGGTATCCTATAGCCTCGCCTGCAAAATAAGGCTTCCCTTTGAGTTCATTCTCTAGCAACTTAAGCTGCTCAGATAGCTCTTCCATGGCCTGTTCTTGTTCCTTCCCTGTTGTAAAACTAATCTTCCTTGTGGTGATCAAAATCTGCAAACAAGAAAATGACTCAAACCCGAAGTGGACTGACTCGAAAATCAGACCGACAAAGTCGAATGGTTTACATGCATAATCGAATCTGACATAACAAAAGGTTTTAAGTCAGGCTGATTATACCTTTTCGTCTATGAACTTAGCCCAGAACCGAGCCATGGATCTCTCGTAAGGATCCCGAGGCAAAAGAACCGGATTGTTTCTCCATGTTTCGTCGATATACTCGAGAATTACTAATGATTCCGATATTGACTTCCCATTATGAACAAGGACTGGGATCTTTTGATGAACTGGATTATACTTAAGAAGCAAAGAACTCTTATTGGACAAATCTTCTTCAATGTAGTCATATGTTATTCCCTTAAGTTTCAAGGCCAGTTCAACCCTTCGGCTATAAGGGCTAGCCCACATGCCAAATAGCTTCACTTCATCGGCCATGGTTCACCACTCCCATTGCTTTATCCGCCTCTCTTATAGCTGATGAAGCTCCCACCATTGCTGTAACACGAAGAGATCTTTGCATGAATCTTGGCCGTGGAAAAAAAGGCACTGGAATCTCAGCCTTTTGAATTGCACAATGCAGTCTAAGTGGATGACATTGAAAAACAAAATTGAAAGTTAGAGTCTAAGTTTTGGATTTGGTCGAGATTTTCAGCCAATTTCTGTGTATTATGTCAGTCTACAATTCCATGATTGGGAGCACAAAATAACGATGGTGGCCGTGGCTAATTGCTTCCCATGATATATATATATATTATCCCTACACTATATAGTCCATTTGTTTTGTCCGTAGGCCACAAATTATGACCTAAAATAGTTAACCTATTATTATTATTATTATTATTATTATTATTATTATTATATTACTTGAAGTATTATTTTGTCACTTGTCATTGCGGTGAATATGCATATATATAGTTGTAGGTAATAACTAAAAGGTTAAACTACTCATTTAGTAATTAATCTTTTGTTCCATTTTAATACCTAAACTTTCAATTTTTCAAAATCATACCTAATGTTTAGTTTTTGTTTCATTTTAGTACTCATCGTTAAAAACTTAACGCGTTTAGTACTAAACGATCAATTTTGATCCGTTTTTAGTACCTAAACTTTTAATTTTTTACAAAACTTAACGTTAAATTTTGAACGGAGTACTAAAATGAAATAAAAACTAAACTTTATGTTTGATTTTGAAAAAAATGAAAGTTTAAATAATAAAGTGGACTAAATGGATAATTTAGGTGCTAAATGCGTAATTTAGCCTAACTTAAATGAGCCCATAATGCTTCTCATAGTGGTTTGCAGAAAATTACTTATATGTAAGATTTTTTTTTTTATTATGGTATTTAACAATGTTGTAGTATAGTGGTAACCAACTGTTTGCTTTTCATAATATTGGTTTGTGAAACTAATTTTAAATATTAAGCATAACTTTAATTTTAAGGATGTCGTTGTAGTGTCACGCGGGTGACCCGGGTTCGATCCCCGGCAACGGCGTTAAATAATTTTTTCTTCTTTCGCATATACCTTTAGCATTAAATTCAGTGGTGGTGAGTGGTTGATTTCATGGATTCTGCTCTTTTTCTTATTCCATGAGCTCGTTCCTTGAATCTGAAACTTAGACCAATATCTTTGTGAAACTTTTCATCTTCATTCTATAAGTGTTGATAGGCAATATCTTTTGTAGGAACTTTTCATGGAAAAGGATGTGATTATTAGTACCATGTTCAGGTTCCATGATTTCTACTTCATAATTGCAATCCTTTCTGCATTTTCATTCATTTCAATCTTCTTTTGGTGTCATTTTTCCAGCAGTTGCTATTCCATAAACCTTATAATGATGCAGAAGCAAAAGGATGTTGATTTTACTTACGATCCCCTTATTCTTGGAATCATCTTTCTCTACTGCTCCTCCTCCTCAGATCCTTAAAATTGCTCTTTTTGTTAAGAAATGGCCTCATAGGTCTCATGCAGGAGGCTCGAAAAGCATGTCTTGACACTCTACACCTTGACCGGAAGAACGTTTGATGTCATCCACACCGAGAGCGTTGGCCTGTTGCATACTTGAGTGAAAAATTTGCCTGATCTAGCTGTTACTTGGCATGGAATTGCATATGAAACCATTCATTTCTGATATCATCCAAGAGCTTATCCGGACACCGGAAGTACAACGGACTTCTACGACGACCTAAACAACTGCGAAAGTCATCGAAGAGTTAAGGTTTTTCCCAAGATTTTCTCACCATGTGGCTACGAGTGATCATGCTGCAGATGTCCTAAAGAGGATTTACATGATCCCTGAAGAACGAGTCCATATAATTATAGACTGGGTTGATGAGGAACTTTGAAGCAAATATTCATGGAAAACAACACATTCCAACAAAGTGTGGATTCATCGAAAACGACTTTGTATTGAGTGTGGAATGATGGTAGAGTGTTATTGGAGTAGAAAGGCAAGGCCGCTAGGGAAATTGGGATGCAGTCGTTCACTGCAAATACCAAAAGTCCAGTTAATCAGCTTAGTAATGCTGGTTCCATATTCAAGGTATATAATGTTAATTAGTTGTAACGTTTTTTTAATAAACATTTGTATTTGATATAAAGGATGACTAATTTGGATCGCATGGTGTAGAAACTCATAATGTGGAGAATGTTCCATGCACATCTCCACAACAACAAAATTATTCTTTAGCGGCGTTTCATTACGTTAGACTTTTTTTTTTCTTCAAATTATCATACAAAATGAGACATTAGATCTTTTAAACAACGTTTAGAGTTTAAATTCTAATATTAACAATAGAACATGGTGAATTAGAGAATCATCCTTATAATAAACCTTCATAATACCCTATTTAAATTAATCATTCAATTGATTAGATACCAACAATTATAAAAAAAATATTACAACTAATTAACATTAGGGTAATAATACTTATGTTTTATCTTTTTTAGAATTTCTTACATATTTTTTAAGATTCGTTTAGAATTGCTATAATTTTTTATTTTAAATTTTTTATAAGTTAAATTTTTTTTTATATTCTTAATTTTTTCTTCTTCTTATTTTTAATAATTTATAAAATAATTTGTAAAAGAAAATAAATTTCAGACAATAAGATATTATTATGTCAATATATTCATATATCAATGAAAATTTGTTATGCCATTTATGTAACGTTATTATCTATATAAAGACTTAATTGAGATGTCATTTTATTTTCGGAAGTTATTGAATCATAATTTTTATTTTTATTTTTTGATAAAATGTATATATTATTATCCAAAAGTAGAACATCAAAATAATTATGTCGAAACAATTTCTTAAAAAAATTTAATTTTTTAATTAAGTTTGATTTAAAAATCTCGTCTTGATTAATTTGGTGTTTTCTTTTAAAAAATCAATATAAAATATGATTCGAGAAGTCGCCCTCAATATTTGATTAGGGTGTGAATGGGCACCCAAAATGTTTTGTCATTTTAATAAAATTTAATTTAAAATTATTAAAATAACATTTTAAGGTATGCGTACCAAAAATTGAGTTCCAGAGTCAATTACGTGTGGGGAAGAATTAACACCCCCACAACGCCCTAAATCGGTACATATTCGATTAATTGTCTTTGCAATGAATCTTACAAGTTTTAATTTAATTTAATTTAAGATCCCTTTTTAAACACATTACTTGAATTTTAGGATGGAAAATGACAATATTTAATTATTTCCAATCGAGAAGAAAAGACCTCTCATACCTTAAAGCAACCATTTCTTAATCCAATCAAAATAAGAAAATATTACTATTCGATTCGAAAGTTCATTAATAATTCAAATTTCAAATGCATGAATAATGATAAAAATAAAGATGAATTAAACACGAATTACCAATCATTTTAGAAAGAAGAAAGATGTTTGATTATTTAAATACATCGAGATCAGACCTTTTATAAGTTCTAATGATCTTTTCTCGACAAATTTAAATATACTAACATTTCTTTTTCTTTGTTCCCAAATTTTACATGTAGTCAATTTTTAGGGTTTCACTTAATGGGATACACTTTCATTTTAAAATCTTTGGAAGTAACTTTCTTATACCTTAAGACAACCACTTCACAACGACCTTAAAATGAAAGGGTATTACCCTTAGTCCAATTACTTGAATTGAGTCGAGTTAATTTTATGAGTGTATCATACATATTATGCGAAAGTGATTAGTAATATTTTAATTTAGACTAAACAAAATATATGTGGTCACATCATAATAGTTTGGGTACAAAAATGAAAATAACAAAAATTAAATAGGTTTAATGAGCATGTGACCAATTTTTTTTAAAAAAAGGCAAGCTTAAGGACTTAATCAATAAGTTAAACAATCATAGGTCATAAAGCATCAAAAGTCATATATTCCAGGTACCAAAATTTAAATAAACCTATAAGCATACGAGGACTAAAATGAAAGTTTAAGAAATGACATGTCGGAACATAAACGGTGTAAAATATAAGCAAAGATTTAGTATGGACTGAAATAAAAACCAGAAAAATTACATGCCAAAAGTATAATCACACATAAACAAAAAAAAACTAAGCCTAAGGACTAAAATAGAAAGCACAAAAACAAGGAGATGAAATCAGAAGCTTCATAAGTCACGAAATTGAACTAAAATACATTAAAACAAAATGAGCGGAGCCCCACAACAAATAACCCACGCGCTAAGAGATGTGTTGCCTTAACCCCTAAACGTTGTCGTTTTGGCAGCGATATATATATATGGTATTTTGGGTAAAAAGTAAACCCTAACCTTATTTGTGTGAGCTTCCTTTTTCCTTAAATTCTCTAACCCGTTGTTTTCTCTCAACTTACCCACTCCCTCTTTTTTTTCTTTTCAGTCTTTTTATCCGATCAAGGAAGCCGACGTGGCTACTGTCACCGAACAACCTTGATGAGGGGTTAAACAACCCTATACCAAACTTTTTCTCAAAACCCCCAAATACCCAAAGTCTAACCCCTTCGAATTGAATCCCCTAAAACCCCAAAAACATTCAAGCAGCGATTAGGGAACACGAAGAGCTTACCCTAGACGGCTCAACAGTGTTTAAATCCCGTGGGATGGCGACGATCCTTCTCAGATGGGGAAGGCGAGGTTCTTTTTCTTTATGGTCTTCTTGTTACTTGGATTTTTTTGTTGCTCGGTCATAAAACCCTAGCCTCTCCTTTTGATTTTTGTTCTGCTGAGGAGAAAAAGAAAAAGTCCCATTTGTTGTTTTGTTCCCTGCTGATATACCCCCCATTTTTTTTATATTTTCCCTGTTCTTTTTTTGCATACAAGGAAGATGAAGGGGATAGCCTTCCCCGTTCGATTACGGTTTGTATAGATGATCTAAGAGTTGAGAATGACTCGTCTGTCCCTTTGAAGTTTTATGGCAACAACGGCCTCTGCCATCTGCCACTGTTATGGTAGAGGTATTGCTAGGTTGTACGAGCGTTCGAGTACAACAGAGGAGAGCAATAACGGTGGTGATCATATCCACGTGCGTATAAGGGTGCTTGAGCGACGTGCGTGAATCTCACGTGCGAGATCTGACGATTGGCGTCCTCAGGTTGAAGCTGGAC